CAGGGGTGGGGGACAATTTTTTCCTCCCATTTGTTCTTAAAATATTAATTTAGAATTACTTACTTTTCCAGTTAAGCTCATCATTTCAAGCTCCACTACAGCTTAAAAAAAAAAAAAGTGCCAAAACAAGTGCTTCAAATCATATTCACTTGCTAAAATTTGGAATAAATCTTCAGCTACACTCTTTTCATACATAAAGATTTACCTTGCCTTCCTTAAAATTATTCTTCTTGGAGATCAGACTGGAATACATCAGGTCTAGTACCCAATTTTATATATCTGTCCTGAAAACAGTGCGTCGGTGTTACCACTACAATCTTGAAGAGGAGAATCTACTTCCTCCCTGAAACAACCAAAAAATCATTTACATGGAGCCATGAAGATAGAGGAAACCCCTTGAAATTGTCCAGTGAAACTATATTTGAGAAAATAGCACAATTCTTCTGGTTATACCTGGAGCTGAAGATGGCACATTTAGATAGAAATTCTTTTAGCTTATGAGCAGACTCTTGAAATAATTTCTAGATCAAAGATTAAATGTATAGTCCTCCTAAGAATATCAAACTATGTGACCATAAACCAATCCTCCTTCAATAGCAACATATTTAGACAGATTCCCCCTTTCCATTGAAAAGTCTTTCATACAAGTCTTTCATAGCCAAGATTAAAAAAAGGGAATTTTCCTGGTAGCATTCTTCACAAAAATGCTTTCAGCTAGAACTGGGAAATCTGGAATGAGGTAAGGTCAAACTGGTAGGGAGAATCAGTCATGTAAACAGGTTTTATATTGCATTTATTACTAACTCCCCTTATTTTCAGTTGCTTCTTTGGAAATTAGCACAACCATGACTGGATTAATTCTCTGTGGGTTTCCCTCTGTACTGTTATTGAGCAGTCATGGGAAAACTCAACCAAATGAGTATGGCTCTAGTGAAGCCACACATCTATGAGGAAGGGCAGTCAGCAGAACACAGGGTTTGTCTTAAAAAAGACATTCAAACAGATAGGGCACTTAAGCTGACCTCCCTGAAGTGATGTCCTCATACTTTAATTGAGCTAAATTTTTGATGTTTTATGTCACTGTAAACAAAAAGGAGTAATTTTATAGAGCATGTTTATTGATTTTCTGGTTTTACAGACACATTCCTACCTACCCTTCAGGCAGCCTGTCACTCACTGCACTGCTTCACATCTGAGCAGGTCTTGCATCCATACTTGTGTACCCTCCAAGACTATGCAGACCTGTTGAAACCTCTTTTTAAAGACAACCAGGAATGCACCTTTTCAATGCTATGAGAAACACAGGACATTACAGGAGTCACATCTTTTTCATACCTTCATCTCATAAGAAAATAAAAGGCAAAGACTTTGACATACCTACTGCCATGTCCAGTGTTTCCTTCCCAGTGATGCACAGTCAGTGTTCCCTTTCCACTGCAGCATCCCCACAGAGGGATGCCATCCTGGTAAACAGCAGCAGTATTATCTCAATTTTTTTGTCCAGTGGTTTTTGGAACACAAGTCTTTACCATCTCCTGGAAGCTGCCTTAAGACATACTGCAGTGACAAGACACCTCGCAGAGGCTTATCCATAGTTGCCATCATACTCATAGTAGCAATCCTAAATTGCTGACATCTGTTCTCCTCTGATCTACTCCCATGGGCAGCATCAGCTGGAGGCCTTAAGTATATTTGTCCATACTTGATGCTGTCTGCTTGTGGCATGCTATAAAATATTGTTTCCCATCAAGATTTTTTGTTTTCATAGGGTAATGGGAGAAGGGGAGAGAGGATAGGCATTTTTGTTTACCCAATATTACTTATATGTGTTGAGCACTCTATAAAGCATCCCCACTGCCGCTGCATTTCACAGCAGCCTCCTCCCTAAAAGCATCAGAAAGTTCCACAACAGTCCCAACAGCTGTTTCCCAATATTCAACTAGTTTGCAACTGAGGGAACCTTCAGATGGGAATGACAAAATGCCTGTTGGCACTGCCAGGAACCCCCCTGTCTGTCCCCTGTGAGTTCAGAGATGGTCAGTAGCTTATGTTATACTGCTAATTTTTGCTTCCACCACTGGTCATCCCAGTTGTGCATCACTACACTGCTTCCTCATGTACATCAGTAACCAGCTGATCTATCCCTAAAGCAGCACTCCATCAAACAAAGTGGCTTCCAATAAATATCCTGGGAAAGGAATTACTCTTTTAATCTACCTGCTCCTGCTTCTTCAGTAGCTGTATGGCCACAACTTTAAAAGTTTCATAAAATCACAGACCCAAAAGTATCTCTCCACAAGACTAAACATGTGCAATCTAATTTCTATTAATGATTATCATGATCTATGACATATGCTCAGTGCTGCCTTACAGCAGTTCAAAATGAAATGGCAAAATTAATGGACAGGGGGAGACGAACCATAAATTTTCCAGCTTCATTCCCAATACCAAAATTTCTGCAAGTATTACAGGTACTGACATATGAAGAATTGCACAAACACATAAAAAAAAGCAACTGATCCACAGCAAGGAACTGAGTAACACAACATTGCACGATAGGCCCTACCTCCAGGATACCCTGTGGTGAAATTACAAAAGCAGGGAACACAAAATACATCACTCCAGCATGCTGAAGTTATAGAGAGGCATTTCACTTTGACAGAGTAAAGTTGCTCCACATGGAGTAAACAAACTATTCCGGTTCCCCCAAGTACTCTTCATATCTGACAACACCTTTCTATATAGATCTTTAAGGATCCGGAATAGCCTGGGATACTGCAATTCCTGCATCAATACATGTTTGAGGACTTTTAAAGGTAGTTCATTGCCATGAAGTCTCACAGCTGTCCTGGCCTTTGTCCTTTCCAAGGATTTCTTCATGAGATGTGCGATATTTAGTAACTACATTCCACATTTGTCAGCCTTCATTCAGGATTGCAAAACACACACCTAAAAAATATTCCATTGCTCGATCACGCTAACACAAGTCATATTAAGAATATGTTTGTGTAATTACATGGGAGAGGTGCTTTGCACAGCAGTTAAAGTGTATGCAACATCAATAATAAGCAACCCTGTGTGTAAGACATTACAGTACAGGATTCTTGGTCTGAAAGAAAGAAATAATTTGAAAATTGACGCCAACTCTTTGGTGTTTTCTAGGTCACATAAATTGTTATTAGGAGTTGATATATTTAAGTAACAAAGCACATTAAATAATTTTTTATCTGACTCAATAGGAACAATCATTCTATAGCATTTGCTGAATAAAGTCAAACATTTCTGCCAACAAGTTAATTTCAAGTGTATCATTTACATACAGCAACCAGATCTTGAATGGCTGTTGCAAAACTTTGATTTTCTTTAGACCACTTTATCTAAAAGAATAAACATTGATGCAACCAAATTTTCACACCTTAAAGTTATAATGATTACTTTGGTTAGAGCTAACTCTTCTCACAGATGCAATAAGCAGAGTTGCACACACTTTGTGATAAAGATTTGCTAAAAAAATTGTTAGTAGGACAGCCCAAATGTCTTTAGGCAAACCAGATCCCCAGCTACTGCCCAAACCAGGGAGCAATATATAGGAATAATGTGCACATGCTCAGCAAATGCATTTTTATGTTTTCTTTTAAATTTGAATATCAAAGTATTCCAAAGCTCAATTATGCTTCATTAGTGAAACTTTGACTATCCCACTTAATTATTTTAATATCTCAGGATTAGACAAGGAATGTAGAATTTTGGTAAAGCAGACAATGAAGGAAACACACTGACTCTTCCAAGAAAAAAAGCTGTATTTCATGTTTTGAACCAATCAACGATGAGCCACAGATATTGTATTACAGATGATTGCTTTAATCCTAAGGCATTTTAGTGTGTATTTGAAGTAACACAAGGGAAGCTTGTTTTGATATATTCACAATATAAAGCTGCTGGGAGATGGTTCCTAGATCCACACTGTGAGTTAAGTTCTTTCCCCCGCTTTGAAACCAAAAAAGGAAAATACTTGCAAGCAGACTTAAAGTCAAAGTAAAACATCAATTTATCACACAGCTTTCTTGAGAGATCCCTTTGCCTTCTGTGTATCACAAAACCAGAACTCCAGGCACACTCCCCTTCATCCTATGCTACAGATCTTTCATTTAAAACTGCTAACTTCTCTGCACACATTTCTCACAAGTTTTTAAACACCGTTTTCCCCTTCACTGCCTTCAGAAACTCTACAGAAGCACAACTTTACACAATGGCACCACCTTGTGTTCCAAATACCAATCTCCAATTCCTGCGCTGACCTCAACTTCATGCCTTTCCCTCACAGAGGATGAAAAATAAACTTATTTTAATACAAATGTATCAAATGTGGTAATTAAAAATTTAATGTATTATTTTGTAATATATAAATTTATTATACAATATAACTATTTATTTCAAATGAGACTCATCCTATTTTCTGCCAGTTTAAATTTGTGTCTTTCATACCCAAAATTACCTACAATAAAACCTCTGCAAGTATATTTTTAATTTAGTCCTTGGCTGTTTTTCATATAAAAGATATTCTTAGATCTTGATGGATGACCTATTTTGGGGTCAAAGTCTATTAAATTGTCTCTAAAGCAGGATTTACCCGTTTGGTTAAATGGAAATCAAGCTACACATACATGTATCTTAAACCATTATCCAAGAAATGGATAATTCAAAAATACAACTCTTGAAAAAAATGGTTGCTTAAAAGATTAAAGGCAGACATTATAGTATTAGTGAAATGTGTCATCCAGTGCCCAACCTTTTATTGTTTTGGGCAGAGTGGCAGCCTTGCCATTTAGAAGTGCAAACCACCTTACTAATCTTACAATTCTACTTGAAGTTATGAAAAACTTTGCAAATCTTCATCTGTGTGAGCTGAAACACAAGTAAGTCCTCACCAGGCTAACTTTTCTTTTTTGGAAGTGGAAAGTGAGGTAATTTTGCACCAAAAAAATGGTCTGGTTGCTTACCTTTTACAGCATTAATCTTTTCTTTGAAACTCACTCACTACCATACCTAGGCTGGACCTTAAAAAAAAAAACTGTGACCTTTTCTTGAGAAAAACAACCATCCTGTTCACAACTGCTCAGTAAAAGAAATCAGTTTTACTAAATAACATCCACAAAAATTCCATTTCTACTTAAGATGCTCCAGTGTCCCTGTTCTCAATGCTGAATTTGCAGTACGTAATCCTTTGAGGCCCCTCTCTTAAAGGCATTGTACGCCATGCCCTTTAGGCTCCTCATTTCCAGTAAAATCATTCTATTATTCTCAGGTCTAATCCAATGTATACTGGATTTCGGGATGCAGAATAACCAACTTCTCACAATCTAAATTGTTAATGGTTCTCCTATATCTCATATGCTCCTCCTCACAAACCTAACCCTTGCTTCCGGTGCAGTCCTTCTCCTTATTCTACTCTTCCACCTGCTATTTTCTTCTTCATCTTAATGTAATTCATTTTAAAAAACCAACCAACCACCATCACCAACGAGAAAACCCCAGCTTCTATCTTTTATATTACTGGCTATAATCAAATCATATTTGCTCAATATAAATAAAGGCAGAATTAAAAAAGGTAAATTTTGTGAAAAAACCCTACGTATTTCCTCAGATATTTACAAGGGATTCCACTGCACAGTATTTGAGCCTGCTGATATAATGGTCACACATCCTCCTTGAATCACCAATATAATGGAAACATCAATTTTCTAGAACTTTCTTGTGCAGGCTTCTGCACACCTTTTGCCAAAATGTTTTAGCATTATACCTTCAAAGGACCTCCAGGAGTGTGAAGGTCCTGACAACAGACCTCTTTAAAATAAACACCAAAACTGCTGATCTTCCTTCAGCTATGCTGGTACAACTGCAAAGGAAAATGTTCAATTTAAAACCAGTTCAATTCCATGAACCGGCACACCAAGCAACCCTAGAAGCAGTTTGCCAGGGCAATTATGCTAGTGATGCAAGGACAGAACGAGAGCTGTGTCAGCTGGCATGGCTGCCAAAAAGATGCCTCTTGAAACTACATTCTCAGGAGAGATATAATGGGAACACCTGATATGGGCAAGGCTTTTTCAGTTGGAGTCATCTGGGTACAACAGCAGCACAAGGAGAGGATACCTCAGAATGTGCCTGGAACAGTCCTGTTTCTCCCCAGCATAGCAGTGGAAGTTGAGTGGACAGTATGACTTAGCAAGTCTATCTTCTATCAATTATTTACCCTGTGACATCTGTACTCATTCCTTTTCCCCACTGTTCAGCTCCCCGCGCTCCAATACCACAGATGTTGCGTAAGAGTTGCTGAACAAACACAAGCCTGGCATATTAAAAGTAACCCAAATCAGTCACAGTTTACATTAATATGCCAGACTATAATCTGGTATGATTCAACTTGTTTTTAAAAGCAGCAGAGGCTGGAACAACAAGAGGCATCTCACAGTGACATGTTCCTCACAGAGTAAGCCATGCTTGCAGGCTTTGCTCTTCTGTTCTGCCTGTTCTCTGCTCTCCATATGGACAGGAGGGGAAACAACCTTGCCACTGCCAACTCCTCTGGGAGACCAAATCAGCAGCAGCACCTCAGCATGCCCCAAATATCTTGCACTGAGCTATAGGCAGGTAAACAGCAGCTTTTTCCAGTTTTTTTTCTCTCTGAAGAAAAGGCTGGGGACAGAGCAATGGTTATCAGTGGTCATGGTTATCAATGGTTATAGTTATCTGTTCAGCTACTGAAGGCAAAGGAGTGAACAAACTGAAGACTCTGACAAACACCTTTGTCCTTCCTGGACAAAATGGGATTTTAGGTAATCTGAAAATTTAAATCCACTGCATTGCTTGGTCACAGCCCTGAAAAATGAGGTATACTATATCAGATGATAATCCGAAGGCAAATTTAGGGAAGCCCACAAGCCCACATAATAACTCCATCTCTGTGGACCGAGAGGCCATAAAGGTGAGAAATTCCTAACCAAGTTGATGATGATGACAAAGACAATGATAAAGAAGAATGGTATTCTGACAAGCAGATATACTACAAGCTGTTAAAGACTGGGCTCTACAATGAAACCCAGAAGCATGGCAGTCACTACACTTCCCATCCCTGAGAGGATGAAGGCCTTTCACATTAGGCTACCACCACCCAATTCCTAAAATAAATATGGAACAGTAGAAAATCTGAATACATACTCTTGATCAAATTATCATAATCAAAGAGAACTGCCATTGATTGCATGCAAAATGCAATTGCATTTGCATGCACGTCAGAGCCATGGCTCCCGTTCAACACAAACAAACTTATTAGATCAGAAGAAGTTTTAAAGTTATTGAGAGCTCTTTGTTTGGGTCCTTTATAAGCAGAAAAATCCCAGTTGCAAAGACCCTGATTTCTGTGCAGGTAGAGAAATCCTGTACATAAATTCCTTTAAAAATACCTTTGTTTCTGGAGGGTGTATCTAGAACGTGACCCAGACTACTCTGTACAGCCAAGCATTGCAGTACTTAAGGCCTTAAATCATTTATTCCTTGTCTACATTGCTTTTGAGTACGGATGCTGAAAGATTGAGGGAAAGGCTAGAGGACACAATTGCTCTAGTTCAGTGTGCCAGTTCTTGAGCAGGGCAGATTATCACCAGACAAATGCAACAGCTCGTACCAGTTGTACCCCTAATTCTCTTTTCCTTGTCAGCAAAGGGGTTCTCACCCTGTTGCAGAATTGCTAAGCTGCTTGTGAAATTTGGATTTCACAGTCCTGCACTGATGCAAGGTGCAGCTCAATGCCAATGGTGCACTTGCACCAGTTTCAGTTTTCCTTCATTTGCCAGCTGTACCCTGCGGACCTGCTGCATAGGCAGCTGAATTGTTCCCAAAGAGGAGGCAGCGCAAGAACCACAACAATCATCCCAAGATAAATAGTCCCAGATTGTGCATCAGATCCCTGAGGCACCTCATGCCCCTGTGAGCTCAGTTTGGAAGCAGCAGCATTTGGCACTCACTGGCTGATTAACACATACAATCCACCTTAAGGGAGCCTGAAGATATTGCTGAGAGTTTGATGGATCCATCACACTGATTGCTTAATGCAGATGGTCACACATGATCCTTCCTTTCCACGTAGATTTACATAGTAAACATGAAAGAAATAGTAAAAATTCCCTTGCATCGGGAGAGGGGATTTAAGAAAATGAGTTCCTTCTTAAAAACCGAAAAAGCCTGTTAAACTGTTGTGTTGCCTTGCAGTAGCAATTTGCACCCGTGCCACTTGATATCCTATAGAAGGCAAACGCGACTACTGTGTTCCAACACCCACTTTCACTCAGGGTGAACTGAGATTTCTCTTTGCCAACCTATGACACAGATGAGAGTCCCAACAGCATAAGGCCCTGTCTAATTCAAAGGATCCAAAATGATAAAAAGTTTAAGATAGGAGAAACAAATACCAGTGGTGAAGCATATCATGTGTAAAAATCTTCCAGGTACTCATGAAAGGAAAGAATGATTGACTTTGTTTTCAGGCTTTATTGGTTGATCAGTCAATGCAGTATGACTCAATATAAGAGGAGGTCTTGCTGTTAGGCAGATACAGAGCAAAAACTAAGGAAAAGGGGGCAGTTTTCTGTGTAAGCTGTGGCAAAGACCTCTTTTTTCATGCTGGGAAAAAGTTCAGAATCAAAGAGGCTCTTGCTCTATACTGCTACAGGCCATCAAGTTCTATTCATGACATTTTTTTCTTTTCTTCATTTTCAGACTTCACTTTCTTCTCTTTTAGCTCTTATCCCACTTGACAGAACAAGGCAGAATTCCTGCTCTGTCTTACAGTCTTCTGCCATTTCAGTGCAGTTATTGATAGGATCAGTCAGGATCAGTCTTTGTGAAGAAAGTCCATCTATGTCTGTTGTGCCAGAAGTCAGTTTCTGCTTATTCACGTGCAAGTGGGTCAGTGGCCCAAAAGTGAGACAAGTGCATTCACTGAAGATGCAAGCTTTGGAAAGCTAAATGGTGAAGGTCTCACAAGCCATAGACAAAGTCCAATTTTTCAAAACCTATTTAAAATGTTTGCTCCAAGGAGTAGAGATACCTGTGTCTTCAGGAAGGGTGAGAACCTTTAAAAATGTTAAGAGAAAGAAAGTGTTCAGCAATTTTTCCTAGCTTCATCCTTAAACAGACTAGCAAAATCTTTTTATTTCTTCCAAAAATTGAGCTGTAGATGTAATATACTTCAGTTATAACAATTAAGGTCAGAAGCAACTGAAAAGAATTTCCTACTAAATGAATCAGGTAACCTTTCTGATCTCACCTGCAGCAAATCATTCAGACTACCGAACAATTTCATTGTCAGTTATGTATTTGGAAATGACTTTTTTTCTTTTTATGCCACTAAATGACTCTCAAATGTATGTGGGTTTGGATATAGATGTTATGCTGTACACAACGAATAAGCAAAGTATAAAATTGGCAGCAGGTAAAATCCCTCCTAAAACAATATTTATATTGTAGGGACTACATCAGTCTTTATCAAAAATGGAATTTTAGCAGTCCATAAAATTGTGGTTAGTCTCTATCTTTAAAAACATTAAGTTTTTATATCTTCTCATAAACAGAATACTAACAAAAATGTAAAAAATTATGTTTAGGTTACCTCTCTTGAAACAAATCAGCAATTAATAGTCCTTATTCAAGCCTATTTCTTATATTTAACATTACTGATATTAGTATCTAAATAATATTTAAATGAGTTACCTGAGCTAGAAAAGGATCTGAATTTTGATTTAACTTGGGATTTTCTTTGTTCCACAGAGAAAATGCTCATAATAAAATTATTGCCTCAAATTTTCCTTCCCTCCCCTCCAAAATCAAACCTGATATTTACACTACCTCCTTCTTTGCAATTTGAGGAATGTCAACCATGCTTGTGTTCACAGGGACAAATAAAGATGACAACCAAGGAAGCAATTACAAAAAATGTCTGATCGGCTTCCACTAAAACACATACTTCAGCTTCTATACAATATGCCACTCAAATAGAATA